TGGAACGTGAGAACCTTCTCTGTCTACCGATATGGCTCAGACATACGTGCGGTTTTGGTGAGTCTCCCTAGTGCAGTATGGGATGCTTAAAGACACCAACACGTAGGTCTACACTTAGCGCCTTTACAGTGCTTTACAAATATCATCCTAAGTCAAATGTACTGTACCACGGCGTAGAGAACGCCGTGACTGTACCCTATTTTTATTACGTGTTGACAAAGACTCTAACTCTGGAATGCTTAGGTTAAGTATGGCCCTAATAAATTATATAATATTAACAGAATGGGCCTAAATATTAAGTTACTAATGCACACTTGATACAATTTTAAGGTAAATATTTAGAACTAGTTTCATATTTCGTAAAGCCTTAAAATAATAAATTAAGAAATGTTAAAAATTAACTGCCCCGTATAGCGTACCATTACAACAGAAAGAAGTGTAAACAAGGTCGTCCCATATAGGACATATAGAAGCATATAAATCCATATTAGTTTCCTTATCTGGATCAATATGGGTTCTATAGGGCATTTTTATTAGGACAATTCTAAAAGAATTACGTGGTGTATAATATAAATAAATAATGATACTAGAAACATTAGTAATATTTTTCCATACCTTAAAATGTTTACAGAATTTCAAAAGTGATCCTAATTGGGCCTAAATATAGCATGTTTGATGGTACTTTATTTATAAATTTGACTTATATTTTTAAATTCAGTAAATTTTGTAAATAATGAAAATTTTGAAACTTTCTTAATTTTGATTTTGTTAATTTTTACAATTGAAAAAATGAACAAATTTTTTTATTATGTTTGGGTTATTTTTAGTCAATTTTACAAGGTGTTCCATATATATATTGCAATATATATCTTGTATTACCCTGTATATTTTTATTTATTGTTATTTGATTTATTAATGAAGGATAAATAAAATATAAGCATTTGTAAAACAGTTTATTAAACTTTATACAATATATTTTGTTTATATATTTATAAAGTATGTAAATATGTGTAAACAATTATAATAAAGATCTTAAGCATATAAATAAAAATACGTTTTTAATATTTAAATGGAATACTTATTATATGGAAGATATAGATAACATAACCTTAACAAGCAATAGTATAAAATATAAAATGTTAATACACATTACTTTTTTTAACAAAAAATAATAATAATACAAAAATATAAGTATATTTTAACATTACGTATGTATGTATGTAAGTAAAAATAATTTTTTTTAACACATACAGGGTGTTACATAAATTTTTACGATCATTATACAGATTGTAAAGTTTTTTATTTAATTTTGTTTATTATGTCGAAATTCAAACATATCGATGCAATAAAAAAGTAAAAATGTCATTACAAAATGTTTGGATAACATTTCCACCTGTTAAAGTTACTTACCCATGCAACACCCTGTACATCCCTCTACATCCTAACCCAACCACAAAACACCTTCTAGTTTTGTGAACCCAACACTATTTTAGCCAGTAAAATGTAGTCAAAGATACCTACAATGTCCTCACTTTTGTTACTAATACAATTTTTAGAGGGCGCTACAAGAGTTGTCAAAATTTAACCATTGAAATGTTTGTTAAAACCAACGTAGCGTGTTTTAAGAGTGCGCAGTTTAGTCAGCACTCCTAGCACGCCCTACCTTTTACCCACGTAAAATTAATCAAATAGTAATTTAACAACTCTTTTAATAAGTATAAAAAATATCGAGATCAAGGTTTGACTGAAAAACATTTTTTTATAAATTTACCAAACCTTAACCTCTTGGGTATAAAATTTTAGTTTAGTTTAGGTTAATATTAAGTTTTCTATATTTATTTTATATATTTATATTTACGGAATATTTGTGCATGTTGTGAATAAAGATATAATAAATTAAATCAGTCGTAAAAGTGTTAATTAGTGTACAGGGTGAGTCTATATAGCCCCCGCAGCGTTAAGAGAATACTTGGACAAAGTCTTAAGTTGCTGGGAGGGCTATAATACAACCAATCACCCTGTATTTTTTGTTTTGAGTTGTTTTAATAATTAATTAAATTAATTGTAAAATTAGTAAAGGCTTTGGAATATATGACAGTCTATTATTTTTGGAAAAAGATTTTGGACCTTATATAGGGTGTAACCAAAATATGGTTACATATTTTTGCCCCCTATATTTTTTTGCAGATTGGCACAACGTAGATTCAAAACATTGATCTTAATTAAAAATAAAAACCCCAAGTTTTACGATTATTTTAGCGGTATGCTTTTATTTTATTCTGTTTATTTATTTAAAAATTCTTTGTTAAAATGTTTGTTTTTATTTTTAGTGAACCCTGTATTTTGTGGTTTTAATGTAAAAATTTGGGGTTAAAATTATTATAACTAAAACAAAATCGAAGACATTTTCAAATATATAAAATACAAAAAGTTTTGATACTACAATAAAATTGGTACAAGTTACTTATAAGTCCAGAAAGATTTTTAATATCGATTAAATTGTTTAAAAAATGTAATTAATTTAGCCATTTGTTTATCTGGAAGGATTTTATAGTATTTAACATTTTAATTAATATTAAACATGTTGAGATATGTACATTTATTTTTCTTTTAATTTATTTTAAACGAGATTAAATTTGAGTTGAATTCACAGCTTGTAAAAATCACAATTTCAGTACAAAAATATTTTAGATTATGCTAGAATGAAATTTGGCATTTAAACAAGGAAAAACATTAATTCTCTGTATCTTTTTTTGAGTAAAAAATACACTAATTGTGCTTCTGCTATTCTCTAATTCGATTAAACAATATAAACTTACATTAATAAAACTGTTAGTTTATCTATTATAAAAACAGTGCTATTTGGTAAATGCGATATTTTACTTAACAATAAAATATTACTGTAGGTATTTTGTTATTTTCATTAAATTTGTTTCAATATTTTTTTTATATTGAAATTTTTTTATAAAATTCATGTATGAGTATTTCTTCACATTGCGCAAGTCTGTATATATTATTTATATGTGCAAAAAGCGTAAGAAGCATAATAACCTATACAGGGTGTTATGAAGTACCGCAACAAAACAAATTAATTTATATTTTATTTATAACATTTATTTAAAATAGTTCTTCTTTTGTCGACGATATATTAATTTTGTTTTTCAATTTTTTAAAAATTATAGATTTTTTTTTTAAATTTAAGGATTTTGAAAATTCTAGAAATTTTGAAAATTATTTTAAATTTTCAAATTTTTGTAAATTATGAAATTTAATTAATAGGTATTGATTTTGTGAATTTTGATTTAAAATTTTAGAATTTTTAATTTAGTAATATTTTTTAAATTTCCTAAACTTTCAAAATTCATGAAAATTTGCAAAATTTTCAAAATTTACTAAATTCTCATAATTAAAAATTTACAAAAAGTCTAAAATTTTAAATAATTCACAAAATTATTCAAATTCAAGAAATTTTTAGAATTTACAAAATATTTCTTGGACCAAAGAAGAAAATGATGTACACAATAATTGATCTTGTTTTCAATCATTTATAAAAATTAACAAAATTTTCCAAATTCTCAGAATAAAAAAAAATTTTCAAAATTTACAAAAATTCGAAAATATAAAAAATACGAAATTCCCAAAATTCAAACAATTTTCAAATTTTTTTAAATTTCAGAATTAAAAATTTTCAAAATTGACAAAATTTTAAAATTCCAAATAATTACAAAATTGTCGAAATTTTAGAATTTATTAAATGTTTTAAATTAAAAAAAATTCTAAAATACGAAATTCCTAAAATTTAAACAATTTTCAAAATTTTTTAAATTTCAGAATTTTTCAAAATTTACAAAATTTACAAAATTTTAAAATTCAAATAGGTATTATTTTTTTAAATTAACAAAATTTTAGAATTTACAAATTTTCAAAATTTACAAAATTTTAAAATTCAAATGTTATTTTTTTAAATTAACAAAATTTTAGAATTTACAAATGTTTTAAATTAAAAAAGAATTAAAATTGTAATAATTTACGGAATTTACAAAATTTCCTAAATTCTCGGACTGAAGAATTTTTAAAATTTATAAAAATTCTAAAATTTCAGAAAAATTTCAAAATTCTTAAATTTTAGAATTTACAAAATATTCGAAAACCCATAAAATTTTAAATTTGCAAAATTTACGTAATTTTCAAAATTTTCAAAATTTCCTAAATTCTCAGAATTTAAAATTCTAAAACTAAACTAAATAATTAATAAAATTATTAAAATTCATGAATTAAAAAAATTCATTGTAATTTTTATTTATTAAAGAATTTACAAAATTTAAAAAAAAGGTTGAAAACAAGATCAATCGTACTCGCGCATTTCTTAGGTCAAAAAAAGAATTTGTGAATTCTAAAAATTTTGAATTTTTTTAATTGAAATTTTAGGAAATTTTTATTTTAAATTCATGAATTTTTGTAAATTTTTATTCCTGAGAAAAAAATTTTCAAAATTTAAATATTTCAAAATTCTGAAAATCTTGTAAATTTTCATGCATTTTAAAATTTTTGAATATTTATTGCAATTTTCAATATTTTGTATTTTTTGAAATTTTGGAAATTTTGAAACAAGTTTTTTTTAAATAGGTCGATAAATATTTTCAATTTTAAAAAATCCTTAAAATAAAGAAAAAAATAAAAATTGGCAATTTTTTCAAATTTTTGTCAAATTCATTAACTGTGACGTCACTTCCGTTCCTTTTTGTGACGTCAATTCCAATATTTTTTTAAATGCTTTAAAATAGAAAAGACACGTCAGAACGTTTTTAAACGATAAAGTAAAAAAAACTATGTTGTACTCCAAACACCTTTAAATATTACCTTTTCGCCTAATTAAACTTATATTTTCATCTTAAAAATACCCAGCAATGATCTGCGTCATCGGACGCAAATTACTCGATTAAAACAATTCCTTTTTTGCTAGTTAGAGCCCTTGGGACTCTAACATAGGATTCAATTGTTTAGGTATCGTGGTTCAGTTGTTCTTTTTCGTTACCGTGGTTTCCTTGACCTATTAAGGCATCTAGCTCAGATGGAGATGTGATCTGAAATAAAAACAAACAAAAAAATTATTATGTTGTTGTTTATAAAGTTGTTATGGTTTAATATTTGGTTTGTTACATATAGTGGTCAATCTATCGAAAAATCGAAAAAATTCGGAACTATGGGTAAAATCGTTTTATTTTAGACCGTCAGGAATTTTTTCGATGCCCAAATACAGATCGACTGTACTAATAGTGGTTTTTATATTAGATGAATATTTTTTGTTTTAAAATCCGAAATGATAAAAGTTTATTTATATAAATATGTTATGGAAACACATTCTATGTCAAAGAAGATTATAAATACATTAACATAAATAAAAAGTTTTCGATCAATATCGTATAAATATTTAAAAGGATTCCAGAGAAGTAAGAAAGTTTTTATTAGACTTAAATAGAGTTTAGCCACAAAAAATGTTCAACTTATTTTTTATTCATGTTTAAAAAGCTTTTTGTTATATTCAGTTTAATATGTTTTATTTAGGATATTTTTAAGTACAAAATAAAAACGAAAAAATACTTTTCTAGGGGTCTTTAGCGTTCTACAAATTTTAATAAACTACTTTTAGCTATCTAATTTTTTAAGTTAGTTAGGGGTCTACTAAAATTGTTTTTACCCTGGTTGCACTTACCAAAATATTGATTGATGAAATTTCAAATAAAAACTTTCTCTGATAAAAGCTAAATTTATTTGGAATTTTTTTTGTAAAAATTGTACAAAAAAACTATACAAAATATAAATATTACAAAATATTATATAATTGTGGTCCTTCTTGGAAAATATATCACATTTAATTATTCATGAAATAAACCCTGTATTTTTGTTTCTGCTTTTGTTTACCCCCCAAAAACTTTAGTATTTCTAAGAAAAGTTTTAGTTAAAATACTTTGGTTTATCAAAATCCTCAAAAGTTAAGAGAACATATCCTTTGGCCTGGAAAATAAAGAAAAATATAAAAATAATAAAAAAATAAGAAAGGTGCTCAATAAAAAAAAAGAGTTGAAAAGTTCTGATCCCTTAGAAATGGGTTAAATTTAGTATTGTCGTCACAAAAATTTCACGTGATTGTTAAAAACTAAACCGAAACCAGATACTCAGAGTTAGACTTTTCAACCCACAATAGGCGGTATTAAACTTTTCTGTGTTGAAGTTTGATGTAAAAAAATATTCTTAATGTTCATTTCATCCCAGTTCCTTACCTGAGTATCCCGTCTCTGTACCAGCACGTCTATACTATGAACAGCATCGATGGGAGGGGGCGGGTCCTCTACCACTACCCTCGAACCTCTAGGTTTACAGTGCATGCAAAAGCATCTCACTGCTGTTAGGAGAAAGCCCACGATCAGCAAAATGGTCCCGGCACCTAAATAAATTACAAAAAAGGTAGTGTGGAGTTTTAAATTTCCGGAAGTGCAGCCTTACCTATAAAAATATATCGATGATCAGCATCTGCTGCATTTGGTACCAACTGTACCAACCCAACGATAAGAACTATGGCGCCCAACAGGATAGAACCAACTATGAGTTGAAGAGCGGACACCTTAAAAATTAAACACCATTGCATGTCTACATAATTTTTTTCAAACAACATCTTCTGTCCCAAAAGTAACAGAAACGCGTATTAGGAGCAGAAACTTACTCATTATACGAATTATACAATGTATAGTGTTGGAATAGTTGCGGACTAAGTTTTTGAACACCAAGAGTTTGTAGAAACACAAAATATAATCAAAAATGTATTGTTTGGTACTTTTGGTACTTAGATTAAGAAACAACAAAAGTGTCTCTTACTTTTCCACAAATGTAAATTTCTGGCATCCTCTCCGTTCCATCTTCGTTAGTTCCAGGGCTAGGGGTGGGACTAGGACTGTTCGGGGGCAACCAGTGCCCGCCAATAAAGAGCTGGCTGGGTCGTTTCGACCTTTTTTCTTGGCCCTTTCTACGCTCGTGGCGAACGGCCACCGCTGGCATCGCTCCAATCATGATTTAGCTAAAAACAAAAGTGAACAATGATATTTAAAGCTTGTAAGGGCCTTGTGGTATAAAAACTTTTGAATTCAAATTTGGCGCTGTTTTTACCAAGAAAAATTTAAATAATCAACTAAAATTAATATTATACTTTTAAATTTCACTTCTTCGTATTTGAACGTAGAAATATTAATGGGATTTGTTTGTCTGAGATTCTTGCTTAAGTGGCCGATAAGTTAAAAGATAGATAAGGAAATAGAATAAGGGCAGAAAAGTCTGGACCGTCACACGATACCCCTGTAGAAAGGTTGCGAAATTTCGTATATTATAATATAAGTATAATTATTATGATTGTAACCGATTTTGTGCTATAATTAGGTAGTACACTTTTATAAATTGTAATTTTTGCTAGTAATGATAAACAACTACCTGTTTTGGGTTTTCTTAATATATTTTTGCTTATAATTTTGAACATTATTATTTAATTCGCATCTTGGTCTATGACGTTTATCATTGCTAGTTTATTGGGTCCTAATCATTTTAATATGTGTAAATGGCGAGTGATTTTTGGTTATAAGTTTTATTGTATTACTATTTAATTGTATAGGTTTAATACCTCGGGGACGAACATACACTGAGTTCCAATCTCAAGCTTTATGTTGTCATACACACTGAATTACATTTATCTTAAATTTTAATATTTTGTATTGCCTTTATTTTGGGTTACACTGACCTTTGCAAATAACTTTGTTTTGTTGTTTCCTTTGGTATATCTTTATATAACTGACATGCATTTTATTGTTTATAGAACTCAGTGTATCATCTCGTTATTAAGGTATTTATTTATTTTAACTCTTTACATTTGTACTTATAAGTACAAATGCCTATAGGCAAAATCTTTTAACAATTATATTATTATTATTATTATTATTATTATTATTATTAAATTTAATATTATCATTATGTACGAGGTCGTAATATCGTGGTAAGGTAATAGTACCGTTTAGCTTTTGATAGATTCTGGTTATAGACTTGGATTTAAACTGCTTATCTAATCGCTTTAATTGGAATATTTGATAATGACCTTTTCGGTACTGTATTTAGTTTAAATATTATTTTGTTCGGTACGACACTTTCTTTTTAGTTTGAGCTTTAGGCTGTTTGTATGTTTTTCTATGACACTCTCATATTTACCACTATTCTATTGTATTTGTATTTCACATTATTTTATTTTGCATATTTATTTGTTTTGTATTTTGTTTGGAGAGTGGATACATGAATATTTGAGCATAGTTAATCTAGGGACACTATAGTGAGATGAAAACATTTGGTGTCGTTATATTACCAACTTATAAACTCTGTGTGCAGAATTCTTTTTATATTTTCGCAATACTGTTGTCTTATGCTGGATATTGATTTTGTGAGAACATTTGAACATATTGTGATATGGGGCTACTATAGTAAGCCAATTGGTTTCGTTATATCACTTCACAGAGTATGCTATTGTTTCCTCCCCTTTAAAGCATTTGAATTCTCTGTATCGGAAATGTGTCGTTGCCGTAGTTTATTTATATAAAATCATATCCTCGTTCAATAGTTCGAAGATCCATGGTAAGGTAAACAAATAGTATAAATCTTCGTCATAAAATGACGATCTCTCATAACTACTTTACCTGAGTATAAAATGTTTTAGATATTGATAAAAACGCCCAAAGTATATGAAATATGTTTATCTGCTTTTCATGATGATTTATACTGTATTCTTGTGATTATGACCCATAAGCAGAGTTGCCAACCTCTTCAAACATTTTATCGGTAGATTCTTTGGAAATTTTCGGTAGAAAATGATAAAATTTCGTTAGATTTAAATATATGTGTAATTTTTAGTTAAAAAACACACGTAGCATGGGCGCCGCTACATAGGGGCAGGGGGGGGCCCGGGCCCCCCCCTGGAAATTCATACTCAGAAATTCCGGTACTCCATAATTTGACGGTAAGTGCTGATCGTTATCATTTGTTCATTATTTTTTAGATAAATTAGATTTGTTATCTTAGATAATTTAACTTGTGATTTGATTTGTGCCGTCTTAATGAGCACTAGTGTTGTTACAGTTGTAAAATGAATGAAATGGCTGGCTGTTCAAAGAAATCAGAAGCACAGTTTACTGATTTCGTTCATAATCCTATGGCGAAGAAACCAGAAGCCACAGATCCACGGACAACATTCGTGATATTCATACCAACATCATGTCGTGATTTTCACAAGTTTTATTCTTACTGATATCATACGGAAGTCACCGCGTGATAAATGAAAATCATACGAACGTCACGTCGTGATTTCCACAAATTTTATTCATACGGACATCATCCGGATGTCACTGCGTGAGAAATGAAAATCATGTCGTGATTTTTATGCCATCGCTGTTTGCGATTGACCGATGGCCTAAAAAATCATGTCGTGATTTTTTATGCCAACGGTGTTTGGATAATCATTTTTGCGCCACGTTCGTACACTAAGAGAAGAATTATGTTGAATCAACAGTTTTTCCGGTTAAAAACATTAACTATTTTCTTGGATTTAAATTAACTATATTATAGTTAATTTAAATCCAAGATATGAACAAAATTTGTGAAAATCACGACGTGACGTTCGTATGATTTTCATTTATTATGCGGTGACTTCCGTATGATATCAGTATGAATAAAATTTGTGAAAATCACGACGTGATGTTCGTATGAATACCACGAATGTTGTCCGGGTAGGTTTTTTAATTCGCAGTTCGCAGGTCTAATACGCATGCGCAAATTTTGCAAATATCACACCGTGAGTTCTACATGATATCACTGTGATGAAGCATGTGTATGCACAATGTTGTGATATCATCATGACTTCACCAGGAAATCCCGATTGTTTTCCGGGTCATTATGTTCATATTCCAAAGATCTTCGATGGAATCTTATATACGTTCATATCAATTTTGATTTGGAATCCAAGGGGTTTTAGCTTAAATAAAACTTAAAAAGTGAAATAATCCGGAAACTGTTCTTAAAAAATTAATGAAATAAATATTTAAAAAATAGAGGATTTATTTATGGATTTAGGATTTAAATCCTTTTTTGCAAGTGGATTTAGGATTTATGATTTAAATCCAGATAACGTAATGGATTTATGATTGAGGATTTATATCCAGTTTATGGTGTGGATTTATGGATTTAGATTTAAATATAAATATACATATATTAAATGTAAATATACATATAAAAATAATATTTTATTTGACTTTAATGTGAACTTCTACAGTACAACTTGATTATAAATAACATCTATCAAAATTGTAAAAAACTTTAAGGCCCCCCCTAGACGAATTCCTTTCGGCGCCCATGACACGTAGTAGAAAATATTTATTAAAAATCTAATAAAAACAATACCATATTCAACTTATGTTAACATTAGTTAACATAAGTTGAATATTTATAAAAAGAAATACAAGGTGGGCCAAAAACAATCATCCTATTTGCTTTGGTTATATTTTTTTCCTGAAATAAAAAACATATGATTTCTTTTATAGTATTTTTATTTGAACCTTTAAGTTTTGTTCCCTTATATAAAAAAAATGATGCCCGTCAAATGGGCACCTCCAGAGTTAATACATAATTTAGCTCTTTTTATCGTATTCTTCATGACTTTCGCCAATATTTCTGGTGATATATCACCAACATATATGTTGCCTATTTCCTGACGGATTTTGTTCTTTAAGGCTTCAATGATCTGTCGTTTAAATAATATTTACGTCTGGCAAGGCGTCGAAATCACGTCGAAATTCGCGTTGCGTTAAAATAAGTGATGAATTATTCTTCAAAAACATTGTTACAATTTTTCCACGTTCTTGAGAAGTATAGCGCTCCATTACTTATACTTGTAAATTTTACTTTTTTACAGAAACGTAAACGTCACGCTCACAGGAGACGCAATTTTAAAAATTTGTAGCCTCCTCCGATAGAGTGATAAATTTTGGCCCACCTTGTATAACAAAAAATAATAAAATTGTAAAAAATATTATTATTTTTTACAATTTTATTATGATTTAAATCAAAAGAACAAACGCCGCTTACTTTTCCACAAAGTTGAATGTTCTGTACTTTACCAATCAACATAGCAAAAATCAAGAATAGAAATCTGTTTAATGTAGGTATCATGGAAATTTGCGATACCGTCGTAGTGCGACTTCTGTACAAATGATGTTGGTAAAAACATTTTTAATATCACATACCTACTTAATTTAGTCTAAAAAGGGTTATTTATTTAGATTGTTGCAAGATTTAGATTTTAGGTAGATTATTGATGTCTATCGGTAGATCGGTAGAATTTTTTAGAATACGGTAGATCTACCGAAAATTCGGTAGGGTTGGCAACACTGCCCATAAGACTATGTTTTGTATTGTATTTTATTTTTATTTGAACTGTGTAAGTCGCCAGGGGTTTTATGGTCCCTTTTCCCTGTGCTCTGACTTAACGGCCACCTCTTTGTCTTTGCTTAAATTAAATCAGGGATTTCAAATCAAATACTTGTGTTTCATTAAACCTGACCAATTTTAAAATTACGTTATTATTTTTTAAAGTAAGTAAATTAACTAGATGATCACGAATATGCAAAAATAAGTATTTCAGTACAAAGATAATATATTATTATTATCTATATAATATATTATTATTATCTTTGTTTCAGTATACTAAAAGAATCGGGTTACAAAAATACATAGTGTACCTCACAGGCTTAACACCTTTTTAGGTCTAGGTATAACTTTGCTGGTGCTGTTTCAGTTGTGAAAAGGAGGTAAACATGTAAATAAAAACACAACAATCTTTCACAACAAATTTATTAAAAAAAAACAGAAAAAACATATTAAATCAAATCATTGGCGTCCATACTCCGCAACTTTTGCACAGTCACAGTACACTTGAACAGTGCTTTTGACTTCATTAAGAAAAGTGAGGGAACCGTCGAAAACGCAGT